TGCATTAGGAATAGGAACAAAATGCAATTAAAACTACGTTCTGAACCACACAATGAAATTTTAAAGATCACTTACACAAGATATCGTAACTACTGTAATAATCTATTAAAAAAATTAAAACGAAAATACGAAAAAATACAATTAGCTAAAGTAACGAAAAATACAAAGTTATTATGGAAAACAATTAAAACTATAACTAATACAAATTCTGACAAAACATCAAACAATAAGTTATTAAATGCTAAATCTACCCCGGAGGACTCTGTGAATCACGTAAATGATTTTTTTGCTAATATTGGACGAAAGTTGGCTGAGGACATACGAATCAGTAATTCCGATTTCCAAAATGAATATGCATTGCCTAGACCTGCATCTCAACCTAGATCTTTTGTTCTATTGGATACTGATCCAGTAGAAGTAGATGAAATTGTAACTAACCTCAGGCCCAACAGCGCTCCTGGCTGGGACAATATTTCTACTCAATTTATCAAATTAGCTAGAGCACACGTAGTTCCCGTAATTAGCCATTTAGCCAATCTTTGCTTTCATAAAGGCGTATTCCCAACACCTCTCAAAAAATCTATAGTTACGCCGGTGTATAAGGATGGGAATAAAGATGACGTCAGCAATTACAGGCCTATTTCCGTACTACCCGCCATCTCAAAAATCATAGAAAAACTGATAAACCTTCGTCTAATAAACTACTTAGAGAAATACAACATTCTTTCAGAAACTCAATTCGGCTTTAGACGTGCAAAATCAACAGAGGATGCAGTCTTAGCTTTAACCTCCTTTATCACTAAGGAATTAGACCAAGGACAAAAATGTCTCACTGTTTTTCTTGACCTCAGAAAGGCATTTGATACTGTTAACTTCCCTATCCTTCTGCGTAAACTCGAAGCAACTGGCATGAGAGGGGTCCAATTAAAATTATTTGAAGACTACTTGCGAAATCGGAAGCAACAAGTGAAGATTGGGGACCATATAAGTGGAGAAGCTGAGGTTCTTTTCGGTGTTCCTCAGGGGAGTGTACTGGGCCCCACCTTGTTTCTCATTTACATAAACGATCTCACGAAGATGAACTTAGAAAATGGTCGGGTATTTTCCTATGCTGACGACACTGCATTGGTCTTCACGGGTTCAACTTGGGAATCAGTTTTTAGGAGCGCCGAACTTGGTCTTAGATCGGTTAATAATTGGCTACAGCATAACCTCCTCACTCTTAATGAATCTAAGACAAAATATATATGTTTTACGATCACCAATAGAACACAACCTGCTAGCAACATTGCTCTAAGAATTCATCAGTGTAGTTATAAAGATACTGCCAACTGTTCTTGTGCGGTGCTTGATAGAGTCCAATCTATTAAGTACCTGGGTGTTGTTTTGGACCAGCGACTAAGCTGGCATTCTCACATTGAATACACCAGCAACAGAGTAAGAAAATTAATATGGATATTTAAAAAACTTAGACATGCAACAACAAAAAAATTGATCACACAAATTTATATCACTATGGCACAATCTATAATAGGCTACTGCATCCCCGTTTGGGGAGGTGCAACAAAAACAAAATTTTTAGAAATTGAAAGAAGTCAGCGCAGCCTCCTTAAAGTAATGTACTATAAACCCTTTAGATACCCCACTGAAGAACTCTATAAATTTTGTGAACTCCTGTCTGTAAGAAAATTGTACATTTTGTTGACTTCTCTAAAATTGCACAAAACATTACCATTTAGGTCTGAATTACTTCTACATAAGAGAAGAAAACATAGAGTTGCAATAGCCAATATTGTAAAAACTAAATTCGCCAAACGTCAATACTCTGCATTCTGTATTCATTTATAATAAGTTAAATAGACAATTTGGTATTTTTCAATTAAAATCCTCCGTAATAAAGGAAACTGTAAGTAAATGGCTTTTAGAAATGACGAATCATGATATAGAATTAATGCTTCAAGAAACTAACTGAATTAAAAATACACTCACTCACTCTCACACACACACACACCCACACACACACTCTCACACACACACACACCTACTTACACACACACACACACACACACACACACTCACACACACAAACTCCGCATGTTTGCACACACTAATACTATTAAGACTATTTGTTTTTCTTTTATTATTATTATATATATTTTTTTTTTCAAATTTTAAAACTATTAAACTTAGTTATGGAAGAGCGGGGCCTCCTGGCACAAATATATATAATACTTAAAAGGTTAGGCCCCAACCTTTGATTGTAAGAAAACAACTGTCATTGCTATTGAAATAAACATTTTTGATTTGATTTTTTTTGTAATAACTATACTATCAGTAATAATAAAAGTAAAAGTGATATGGTTGAAAATAAGTCTCTTACAAAGAACTTTCTAGAATAATACTTTATCTCAATCATAGTAATATGTAACTATTCCATTTAATGTTATGGCAACACCAGCTAAAACAAAATTTAATTGTTTTTTTTACTGGTTTTACGGCTCTGGGGCCTAGCCTTTCTGTAAATGTCTCTGTATGACAAATGCCCTGGAGCCATGCCCGAAATATACATTTATAGTATGCAAATATATAATAGAGATACAATAATCTAAAAACTCTCAATTATGCAGGTAGGTACATTATGTTGAAAATGTATTAAGCTAAAATCATACAACCACAGGAAGCATGACTTTTTCCAAGTGACATAAGACATAACCCAAAAAGATTGAAATCTAAATAACTTTAATTGACGCCTTCTCAGGAGAAAATTCTTTGACAGAGTTATTAAGGGACTGACGCTTAACATTTTAAGATATTTTTGATTTAATAGACCATTCCTTCTCAACTAATTTTATGTATGAAAGTCTGCCATTGTTCTTTAGCAATTTAAAAATAGTTCGCTTATTTTTTCTACTACCTACAATTTTTTCAAATATACGTTCATCTCTTAAACTTAAAACCTTATTAACTCGGTTAATTCTGATCGGAAAAAATTATAAAACCTTTTTTATGTAAAATTTTATGCTCTACACATTTTTATGAGAAGCTTTTTGTCTCAATTTTATCTTTTTTGAGTAATTGCGGAAAAAACACAGACAAGAAAACCTTTAGACATTATTTTTGTACAATCAAAACTACATTATATTTATCAAAAATGCAAAATTGAGTGCCAAAATTTTAACTTCAGACCTTATTTGAATGGACTAACTGGCCGAGCCGGTTTAGAGCAGTTTATCTCTGTACGTATAGAGATGCCAGTGCTCACGCAGACACGCGCCTCAAGCTTGTAGTAGTGTACTTAACATAGCGCGGTTGTATGAAGCTTTGCCTCTCATCGGTTTCTTTACTCATGTGATATTACCCTCTTCCAAACATCTCAATAATCTGAAATTTTGTAGACGTATTAGAAACCCATGTCAACGCAATAATTTCATGAAAATGACCTAGTGTCCTCACCATCTACTCATCTCATGATCAATGCATGTTATTTAATTTTTTTAAACTCTAATATTTAATTTTTATACACTAATAACAACACTTGCAACAGGTTTCAGAATACAATCCCTTAAATAAGTTACCTATTCAAGGAGAGTTCCTGCTATATATTTACGAGTTAATGGAAAAACCGGACAATATAAATGATAAAATGAAACATCAAGCTTATACATTAGCTTCTTTGATAGAAACGGTAAGGTTGAGGTACCAAATAAATCTAATATTAGTAATAAATAAATTTTATAAAAAAGAATATGTTATCCATCTGCTAGGACCCGCAAAAATTAACCCAAGAACTGTCATGTCTTATTGAGAGGACGATGGCGTAATCGGCAGTTCACCCGTACAACGGGAGGGGAAGCGTATTCTGAGCGAGATTCTAGTTAATTTCTGCGTGTTGTACACCTACTACTTCTACGCCGTAATCAATTATCAACCATATGATCAACCATTTTATAAAAATCTTTAGTAAGAAGAAACATGATTAAAATGAATTGAGTCAATTTGAGATTAAGATGAAATTGACCCATTTCTTCTTAATCTATTTTCATCATCATCAGATTGTTAAAGAATATGGGCCTTTCCCACTGTAAAAATAATTTGCCCTAATCGTTCTATAGCTATCCAGATGTTTGCATCTTTTACGCCGTTCACCGTTCGGGTTTTATTACGCCTGGCTTTAACGAGATGTAATGATTTCTTATATTTACGCGAAGACTAGGTACATATTAAATGAAACTATTTTTTTACGGATTTCATCAAATTTAATTCAACTTTTTAATTCGCGACGTTTCGGGTGCTTTACAGTGCCCATGGTTACGGCGAGGACTGATGTGTTTGACGTCCCGATGTCATAGTTAGCCCGACTACCTTCAGTTTTTGTATATTAATTTTTAGTCCGATCTAAGCAGAATGAGCTTACAGTATCTTGAATTCTTGCAGTGGTATGCTTGGTTTTGGATTTAATTTTATTAATTATAGGATCCCAAGCCATTCATATTCTCTATTGAAATTAGGATGTTTTTTTTTTTATTTCAATAGCCTCGCGAATTATCCTTGGTAGAAATCGGTGTTCTTTTACGAGGATTTGTGGTCTATCAAATGTAATACACCTCAGTTACAACCACCTCAGTCCCCTCCTCGTGACTATGGCTGCTGTAAAGCACCCGAAACGTCGGGAATTAAAAAGTTAAATTAAACGCGATAAAATCCGTAAAAATTAGTTTCCTTTAATGTTAACGAGACGGTTATAAAAGCCACAACATCTTTTGGATAAATCCAATAGTCGCCGCTTACGACACGCACAGGTTGAAGTGAAGAAAATCCACCATTCATCGGTATGGTGGATTTTCTTATGTGTCAAGCATCCAATGATGGAGCAAAAAGTATAACAGGATACTAGGTGGTTGATCTGAACTGAACTGATCAAATACAGTTTAACATTGCAGATTCAAGCGTACTTTATAGTTCAGGATGACGTTATGGACAGTGCCAAAATGCGATGCAAAATGCCGTGTTGGCATTTACTACCTGACGTAAGACATATATGCATAAATGACCTCACCTTAATGCGACACTTTGCAAATGAAATGTTAAGGCAAAATATAGATGAATCCATTTACAACAAATTAGCCGATATTTTCAATGAGGTGAGAAAGAATCTACTTTATAGTATGCATCTAATTGTTTACTTTTAAGATTTTTTTAGAATCCAGTTTTCGACATAGAAATAATTTCAAAGATCCATGAAATGCTCACTCTGCCACGTGAAGGCCATATGGGCTGGGAACTGAACATTGAAGGCACAAGATTCTGGCCTAAATAGAGCCATATTAGAATCGGAAAGGATAAGAAGTGTACTGCATATTAAACTCCCTTTTCCCACAATTCAAACTAAAATGCAGACAGTAGTCAATCAACTGAGGCTAAGTATATACTCAGTAGCTTATATTATTCATAAGTCCTATTTAAATTCACATATGTTCAGTGCATCATATCGTTCATCAAAACATCAGGAGCATCCTGATAACAAATAAAAAATAATAAATGTCGTTTGCCAACACCCTACTAGCTACGACGATCGGCAAATATCTCCTTTCTATGAGTAATCTATGTTCAGTAGAGAAATTTTGATAGGTATTATCGCTAACGTAAGTAATATTTAAAATATCTTTACAGATGTATATGCAAATAGAAATAGCACAACAAAGGGATATAGCCCTTCAAAAGTCAAAAGACTACTCGAAGTTCACAATGGACACTTATAATCTTACACAAACTTTTAAGGCGTCGTACTACTGTATTACTTCAACTATTTATATGGCCCTGATATTATGTAACAAAGCTACTGAGGAATCATTTCAGCTTGTAGACGATATATGTAATGATGTTGGGATAGTCTTTCAGATTCATGTAAGTTATTTAATTTTGTCTTATTAAAGTGAAGTAGATGTTGTTACCATCATTCCTGATAATTTAAAATGATGACGTGTAATCCTGTAAAATTATTTTTATCATGTAACAGATTTGCCAAGCAAATTATTAATACGGAAAGAATTTTAGAAAAACAACATACGTCTAACTTCAAGTGATGTTTCGGCAGACACTGGCCGAGGCGGCCGCAAGCTAGGGCGAGCGGGAAACTCAATTATTTTCATAAAATTATATTAAAAATGAATTTGTAGTGTGTTAAAACATTCTCTATCAATTTACAAGGCTTTTCATTTGATATAAGTTTTTCACGGTTTCGTAGTGGAATCTCAATCAATCAATCTTTATTTGCCAACCAAGTGTAATAAATGGTCTTATAATAATAACAATTTGTCTCAATTTAGTAGCCTTTTTCAGGAATTGCAAATTTGAGAAAGGGAGATAAAATAAGTTATTACTTATTAAATATAAACATTATAGAGTAATTAGATTAATGAATTAGTAATATAGTCTAATTATTTAACAGTATTAAATCGTGCTAAATATAACGGAATTTATGATATTTTATATAAACACAATATTTATTCTTCTACTGATAATTGTCCATTATATTTTTTGTGTCAAAACCGCTTTTTTCTTTTTTTATGTATTTTTGTTGACTTAATGTTTAGGTATCAGATCTGTTATTTGTGTAAAAGATATGTAATTTGTTATTAGTGTTTTGTTTCAATGTATTCTTTGACTGTGTAGAAACATTTTTCTGTTAAGAATGTTTTTAGTTTATTAATGAAAAGTGTAATCTTATTTTCAGTTTTTATGTGAATAGGTAATTTATTGTATATTTTTATAGCCATGGAGTATGGACTCTGGTTTAGCATTTCAATTCTTGATGTTGGTATGTATAGTTTGTCTCTGTGGTGTGTGTTTAAATTGTGATTGTCTTTTACTTTTGTGAAGTGATTTATGTTCTTTTTTTATATAGGATAGGGTGAAAAACGAGCACACAGTCCACCTGATGGTAAGCGGTTGCTGTGAGCTGTGACCCATAGACATCTACATATTGTATTCTCAATTTATTTATTTATTGATTTAGCTTTATTTTATTCTCAATAAAGAATGAAAATGCAGATGCGTTGTCACCCGTGAGGACTAAGATGGAATGCCTCGTTTCCAGTAAAAAGGTTCTCCGGTTTTCTACACTCACCATACGAAACACAGCGGTGTTAAGCTGCTATTTTAAGCTGGTATTCTTGAATACAAATATGCAAATGTCAAATATGTATAATGATGGTAGTGTGATGATGTTATTTTTAATGAAATAGGGTCTACAACTGTCAAGATTTTCAATTTGGAAGATGATTCTAATACATTTCTTTTGCAGTATAAATAGATCTTGAAAGTGTACACTATTTCCCCACAACATGATTCCGTTATTAAGTAATATAATTACTATTGCCCCACAACATAATACCAGGAGTATGCATATGCGTAGTATGCTGACAGTGCGGCTTTTTAGTCTGTGCTGCTTTTAAGTTGGAATAGAGCGTATGTGAATCGAGATATTTTCTGCCGACTTCCAAAAAGAAGACGGTACTCAATTTTTTTTTATGTGTGTTACCTTATAACTTTTTACTGCGTGGACCGATTTCGATGATTCTTTTTTTATATAAAAGCTGATACTTCTCTTGTAGTCCTATATGAATTTGATCAAGGTAGAGCCATGCTGCAGCTATATTTCTGGTATAGTTGTAACACGAATGGGTCGGCTCGACCGGGGAAGGGCCACGCTCTTACAGAATACCAGCGTAAAATAGCAGCTTAATGCTGCTGTGTTTCGTATGGTGAGTGTAGAGAACCGGAGACCCTTTTTACTGGAAACGAGGCATTCCATCTTAGTCCTCACGGGTGACAACGCATCTATATTTTGATATTGGTAATCGAGGATAAATGTAGATGTCTATGGGCCACAGCAACCACTTACCATCAGGTGGACTGAGTGCTCGTTTGTCGCCCTTATCCTATAAAAAAAAACTTATATTGAAGTCGGCTGTACATAATTTTTAATTTTTAATTATTTTTAATATGTTCGATGTGTCGTTTCCAGTTTATGTGCGTGTCTATCGTTATACCAAGTAATTTAAAGGTACACGGTTTCTAATTGTGTGTTGTTGTATGTCGTGTCGATATTTATGGGGGTGTTTTTGTATGTTCTAAATTGGATGGTATTTGTTTTGCTATAGTTAATTTCTAAGTTATGGTCGCTTAGCCAGTGATTTACTGTGTCTAGAGTTTTTTGAAGCATTTGTGTTAGGTTTTTGGTTTTGTCATAAGCAATCAATATTGATATATCATCAGCGAATATGATGGGCAATGTTTGTTCCTTATTTAGTACCTTTGGCAAGTTGTTAATGTATATCAGAAATAGCAAACAACCTAACACGCTGCCCTGTGGAATTGAACATTTTATGCTCCTTTTCTCAGATATCACTATTCTAACCTCATTTCTGTTGGAGTCGAAATGGTCAATTGGCACTATTTGTGATCTATTTTTGAAATATGATTTAAACTATGTGTAAGCTGGACCGCGAAGGTGACATCTTTATGATTTTTTTTTATCGTGCCAACTATTACGAATCGCATTAGGGTTTACACACGGCCCTCTCGTATTTTTAATTTGTATAACATTTTTTTTGCGCAATAATTACTTTAAAGTAGACTCAAAAAGAGGAGAGATGTGTGATAAAAGATAGAAGAAGAACAGAGGAGGACTGTATGTTAAATGTACTGCAATGTCGCCTTATCGACAGTGATGTTATGGAAATAAAATAACAATTTTTAGTCATAATGCATTCATAATTCTTATGGAACTGTCGTCGATTTTGAATCGCATCATGGAATGTTCACCAAAGCACACACGCGCGTGTGTCATAAAAGCGATGCACATCTTTGTGCAGAATCCGGACTGGCTCCAATAGCTACCCAAGTACATTTCCACCACTATACTTTGGTTCATGTTCTGTCAAATCGTTTATATCGTGAATTAAGTAGGTTTAAGTTTTACTAACAAATCGATAAGATACTTGTATTGCTTACATATATGATCCTCGATTCGCCTTAAAAAGACTAAGACTATTTATAAAAACTGAAACTATACTAGAAACTATATTTATAGAAAGAAACATGTTTCATTCTATAAATACACACCAAAGCAAATCTTTAATAAATAAAAAATGGTTTTAGCAAATCACTCAAATCAATAACAAGAACCAATATCTGACGAAAATAAGTAGATTCCAGCATAAAAGAACAATAGCTTACCATTCGGCATGCAACGGTTTAATAGATCGTTTCCACATGCAGCTCAAGGCAGCGATTATGTGCCACGCAGTCAGCCGCAGTCAGTCGCAGTCGCCACGCAATCTGCACCGATGGCTAGTCTCCGTTGAGGCTGGTCGCCGTGACCGAAATTCGGTCTGTAGGATATTATTAAAACTAAAATAACATTAGCTTTTCAATAATAAAATTTAATCCGGTTTCAATCCTGACTAAAATTATTCATTTGTCACCTAGATTTATATTAGGTTAATGAAACTATTGACAGCTGTAATAAAATCTTAGCATTTTTTCAGTTCATATACAAACTGATAAGATACATTACAAACTGATAAGAACCAGCGTACATAAATTGACCGGTTGATTCGTGGTAGCTCAGGAGCTAGGTAGCGCAAGTATGAGTTTTGAGAGGTGACTACATATTTGTGCCATTTGCTAAAGGAACTGTATCCACGACTTGTAGTCGCCGCTTTTGATATGAGGGCTGATTCTTTTACTGCTCAAAGGCTATGTGCCATTCAGCTAGGAAACGCAGCCAGCGTCCTTTGTAATGCTGCTGTATGATAATTTTAGTTTTTAGTTGTATATTTTAATATAATGTAAACAGATGTATTAATTTCAACTCACAATAGAACTTATTTAACTTCTTATTTACAGAATGATCTCACCGATTATATGGACAGTGATACATCAATATCGGGTAAATCTAGTACAGACATACCTCTTGGAAAATGTTCGTGGCCTGCAGTAGCAGCACTTCAGCACTGTAATACAGAACAACGCAAAATTTTTGAAGAAAACTACGGAAGCTGGGACCCAGAATGTATCAAACGCATTCTGGAATTGTACAACGACCTTAACATGCTAAAACTTTATAAAGAAGAAATTCAGTCTCGATATAACACTTATTTGCACAAGGTTAATGCACTACCTAAAGATGCTACACCATCACCCGATATCTTTCTTAAGATTTTAGATTTTTATAGAAGTTACACCGATGATGCATCACGATATTATTATGTTTAAAACCTCTACAAATTTATTACTCGCAATGCATTATACACAATTTAATTTTGCTCGGTCCTGCATGCTATTTTTTATGTTACACTGAATAATAAACAAGAAATGGACGGCAAAGTTAATTGTGATCATTTTGCTGATGTAAATAAATAAATTACACTTTTCTTTTAATATGTGGTAATTTCCTGTTTTATTACGAACTTATTACACTTAAACTTCAGAAAAAAAGGAGTATTGAATTATAAGGTCATAAGTTTTCTATATGACTGTCCTTTTAAATAAATATATATTTAACTGAATATTTACCATCCCATCAGCTTGAAATACCTATTTTACTAATTTAACTAGGAATCTCTGCAAAAGAACGGGTAAAAAAATTATATAAATCTGTGGGTTTTTTTTATTTATTTATCATATCAAAAGAAAAGAATACAGATTTAGGTCTAATTAACATTTAAAAACCACGGAGGTTTGACTTGATGTTAAATAATTAAGTTTAAGTCAGCATATTATGTGCAAGACACAGTCTAAGTAAGTAGCTAGGTATGTGAGTAGGTAGTAGGTATAGTAAGAATATAAAGACTAAGAAGGTAAGTTAACAACTTAGTTAAAGCAGTAGTAGCAAGATAAGAATTAGGCAGGGAGGTATTTTATTGTTAAGTAAGTAGATATAGAAGGTAATTATAATTTAGATATGAAAAAGCTTTTGAGTTAAGTTTTAATGTTTTTTTGTGATATTTTTTCGTGTACATCGAAAGGTAAGTTATTTATTAAATGTAGTACCTGATAAGCGGCTGTCCGCTGCCCGTACACATTATTAACAGTGATGTATCGGAGCCGATTTTGTGTCATAGCGCGCGTATGTACAGGTTGATCTATGTATGACTTTATACTATCGCAAAAGAAATATTGCGTTAATAACATGAATTTAATTCGGTCATAAACTGGTAAGATTTCACAATGTTTAAAAATTTCATTTTCACCATCATCAATTAGGACACGCATATTTGGGGTTACAATAATTATTTTAATTATCCTTGGAGGTATTAAAAAAGAGACATTAAAAATTGCACGTAGTAGTCATGGGTTACTCATCTATTTTGTTTGAGGATGAGGGAGTACCTCATTTTACCTAGCGAAGTACCCACGAAATACCCCTCATTTGAGATGAGGAATCACTAGTCGGTGTATTCATCTCACAAGGCGAGTCGCCTCCTTCCAAAAGTTTTTTGAAAGGAGAAAATATTGTTACCATATTCATTATATTTATAATATTATTATGTTACAACAGACGTTAACAGTGAACGCAAATAAAATTAGAGATCACAAAAAAGTGCGCATGATTTTATATTCACACTCATATATGTGACTTGATTGTTTCAAATTCCATTACTCAAAAATTATTTTTGTTGTTTATTAATCTTTTTCCTCAATATCGACACCTCATTCATTTAGTTTTGCTGCAAAATACATAATCTCGATACCTACTTGAAGTATTTTTAATCGAGTTGTTCGCTCACTCACTCGGGACACAATTCATATTGTCAGTGATAAGCGAGGTCATGCACGAGTGAGTGAGGTGTTATAATGTTAACATTCGAGTAACTCTTTCAATTTGCCGTCACGAGTACCTCAAACGAGGCAACTCATGAGTGAGGGACACATCACTTGCACGTAGTTTACCACATGCCCGGTGGAAATCTGCATATCTGAGAAATAAAAAATATTACTCACCATAATCAGAGAAGGCCTGTAGCCAGGAGTAGGGCGTACATAGGCTATAAATTTACATTTAAAATTGCAGTAGAATTGACTTCTTATCTTATTCCTTCTTCATTAGATCGTAAAGTTCACAGCTGTACAAGAGACTCTACCGTTAATGAAAATTTGCCTTAATCACCTTTTGCTTGATACTTGTCGGGTAGATTGGTTATCGCAGTACCTGTTTTGGTAACTACCTACAAATTTAACTTATTTAAGTAAACTGCAATAAAATGAAAAACATAAAACAAATAATGGAAATTGTTCTACATTTACGTCTTTATCCCCTATTTTACCAACGCTTTGGTTGAAATATTCTACAAGTAGATAAGTAGATACACAATAAGACCAGAACTGAATAAGTAATTTAACCCAGCCGGAGTGATAACAAATTTGTTGCTTAATTTTTTTAAATTATAATTCGGCGAAAAGGCCCAGTTATGGTTCTGAACCTGGCGAAGGATGAAATTTATATACAATACCAGAGAAAAGGGCTTCACTTTCCCACATTTAAAAAATGGGGTAGGCACACGGCTCTACAGACGCCGTGTGCGGTGAATGCCAAACATACAACGTGCTCCCCGCGAAGGGGACGTTATGTTGGAAACTGGCTTGTAATCCACAGCAAAGTAACTGGCGTATCAGTAAAAGAGGGCTTGTCCCCTAAGTAGTGCGTAAGCACAAACATCGAAGTCGCACATGTCAATGCGTGTAAACCCCATACAGAATACGATCGAATTCGGCCACAGTGAATGTACATTACGCGGTTCAGGCAACACGTCGAATAATAGGCACACTGGCCATAAAAAGACCTCCGGGTGCGCCATCAGCTTCCAGGCCGCCGTTCCTGCAGACGTGATGTAAGTATAAGGAATCACCATCAAATGCATGATCAGCACGGCTACTAGCCGCAGAGCGTGTCATGAGTCTACCGCTCACCTCAAGGAAATGGGGTCTCACGTTACGCGGCTTTCAGCCGCAGCCTTGAGAGCCTCCTCAGATTCTCCCTCCAGCTACCACCCGCATGAGGTAGACACATATGCTCCACGAAAAAAATATAATGGGAGATATAGCCAAAAAGCCAGTTATAAGATAATAGTAATAATTCGCCATCAGAAAAGGTTTGTGTCACTGACGTTGATTATATGCATTTTTCGATCATGTTTTTCTCACCCACCAACAAGTCGCCTTTAATCATTCAAAGGTGGGAAATTTATAAAGATATATTATTATTTTGTGATATATAAAACGTCACAGAAGTTAGACCGTCTGCAATCCGTAATGAAGGGTCCCAACTTGGGCAAAGCTACTTACATAGGTTGCGACACAATGCTGCAGAACGAAACAAGCATCAATACGACTATCGTCGGCCAACATCATCGCAAGGTCCCCCATACAATCCGAGCATACATCACCACCCGTATAACTCCATCGACCAGAACCACAAGATGCGTCGAATCAGGCGAAGCAAACACGCTGATTTTTTTTATAGGATAGGGTGACAAACGAGCACACAGTCCACCTGATGGTAAGTGGTTGCTTTGACCCATAGACATCCACATCTATCCTCAATAAAGAATCAAAATGCAGATGCGTTGTCACCCGTAAGGACTAAGATGGAATACCTCTTTTCCAGTAAAAAGGGTTGCCGGTTCTCTACACTCATCATACGAAACACAGCGGTGTTAAGCTGCTATTTTACGCTGGTATTCTGTGAGAGCGTGGTCTTTCCCCGGTCGAGCTGACCTATTCGTACCACAACTATACTATTATATAGCTGCAGCATGGCCCCACCATCGCAAGATGCAATACCGCAAGTAGCAGTAAGCATCAATGCAACTATCATACGGATGGCGCCCCCTCACAATACACCCACATTATCCCTATCGACTTTGGTAACAAAATTGATAATATTGTTAACTTAAAATACAATGAACTTAAAAGATAGCCAACGTATCATAACGCTAAGCGCTAAGACGCCGCCCACAAACGGTTTGCTGGATGAAATAAATCATCATTTTATCTCTACTTCTCCTTTGGAGCCCACAGTTCTTTCTACAACAGAATTTTTTTATAGAAGAGGGAGCAAACGAGCATACGGCGCACTTAATGGTAATTGACTACCGCCGTTAATGAACAACTGCAGCACCAAGGGAATTGCAGGAGCGTTGCCGGCCTTTTAAAAAGGAGTAAGCTCTTTTATTTAAGGGCCCTAAGTTGTATCGGTCCAGAAAAATCGCCGGTAGAAAGCTATTCCACAGAAAGGTCGTACGCGATAGAAAACTACTAGTGAAACGTACAGTAGTGGACTACCAAACATCCAAATGGTGTGGATGGTATTGAGAGTATTTCCGAAATGAGCGTTCGTGAAATTTGGCGGATGGGATAATTCCTCAGAGCACTCTCCGTGGTAAATGGGAAAGAAAATAACTAATAGAATCAGGCGTTACTTTGCGGAAATCCATTATATAAAAGCTTTTAGAAAAATTTACTTCACAAATATCCGCGTTATAAAATAAAATGATGTGTCTTACCTAGTATGAAGAGCACCTCCCGCCCTCCCTCGATTGCGTGCACTATCCCCGTCACCACTAATCCCAGCACCACTACTTCCAACACCACTACACTAGGCAAGACACACCACTGACGATAATACGACACGTGTTTCGCCTCTACACGAGGCATCCTCAGGTGATATAGACTCTACGGTGGCTAACCGCTAAGTGAGCGGCGAGCCAAAACAAGTGCCTTTTATACAGACCGATGACGCAACCGCTCTCTACTTAAGGAGCGAGCGACTGCGTCATGAGATAAAACATGCGACTAATCACCGCCGGACTTACGCAGCTGTTTGTAAAATTAAAAATAAACCGCCGCGCAACGCTCACCCTCCAACCACGCAACCAATCGCCGATCACCGTGAGGGTGACAAATGACCATATTGCGAGGCTCTCTATTATTAGAGAGCAGGCTTGAAGATATTTAAGAGAGGTGAGTTAGTAACATTTGTTTGTTCTTTCAGCAATGCAACGGTATTATTATTACTTTTTAATATCTCTAACTGTTCCAGCACACACAGCCGCAGCCCTTTATTACACGTATGTAAGACTTTAATGGAGATTTATAGGTTTTTCAAAAATCCCATTTTGCCAAACATCTTTTGGACACTGGACACAACCTAGTCAACGACCACTCCTTTAATTAAAGTTAAATATAATAAATCTATGATATATTTAAATGCCTTT